TCCGGAATCGCACGAAATCCTCCGGTTAACAACCCTAGCTATAAACTTATCTATTTAATTTTACTGTTTATCATTATTATTATTGTTATTAATTTTTTGACAGTTAGTTATTTTGATTGGTTACTTATCCAGTTATTTTCTAATAAATATATAGGTTCATTATGTAAATTTTTGTCCGTTATTATTTCTCTGCAAAGATATCTATTTTTTAATATTTATTTCAGAGTTATATTATCGTGAAATAATCTTTTGAAAATGTAAATAAAATTTTACGAAACTTGTCAAGAATAAAAAACCTCTTGTAATTTTTAAAAATAATTATATATATATATATATATATATATATATATATATATATATATATATATATATATATATATATATATATATATATATATATATATATATATATATATATATATATATATATATATATATATATATGTATATATATATATATATATATATATATATATATATATATATATATATATATACATTTATAAGGGAATATATATACATATATATATATATATGTATATATATATATATATATATATATATATATATATATATATATATATATATATATATATATATATATATATTTATAGGGGAATATACATATACAAAGTTTGCAACATTGTATAAAAAAACACAATTTTCATTAAATTATTCATTTATTTTATCAAAATAGATTAGTAACCATGATAATTGACAAAAATAATAACTTTGAACTATTAGTAAAGATTTTATGAATTTAATACTTAAATTTAATATTTGGTATGGTGTCCTTGAGCTTTCAAACAATTAGCTAAGCGGGTAGGCATAGAATGAATGAGTTTTCTCAAATATTCAGGAGTCATAAGTTGAGTCCATACCTGCTTAATTTTTTCTTGAAGATCATCGGAACATGATGGTCGCAGTTTCTGGACTTCGTTTTTGAGTTCCAGCAGGTTTCAATGGGATTGAGGTCCGGTGAATTACCAGGCCAGGGGCCAATGACCTCACAGGGGCCCATTCTCACGTAACCAACTGCTTACATGCTTGGCCCTGTGACAGGGTGCTCCATCATGCTGAAACTTGTGGGTATTCGTGATGTTTATGAATAATATAAGTTTTTCTTGGAGTATATCAATACAAACATGGCTATTTGTTGTGGTGATAGGAGGCATAAACTATAAACTGCTACTTTGAAAAAGTAGCAGTTTATAGTTTATGTTTTTTAATGAAAATGAAGAGAGAAAAAGAAAAGGCTTTTCTTTTTTTCTCTTCATTTTCATTAAAAAAAAAGGGAAACTATGTTAATTTTAAACTTATATCTTTTACATTATATACTGATATTATAACAACTATTACCATCTTAATAACACTTTTATTTGCACAAAAACTCTTAATTCGATAAAGAGAGATACAAATTATTTGTAATACTTACATACTTGCTTGCCATTTTTTAAGATTAATTTAAGATATTTTTATGCTAAAACAAGACGCGTGTAACTTCACCGCGAAAGTAATGTAATGTTGTTTTTAACATTTAAGATTATTTTTGAAAACTAAAATAATCTTAAATGTTAAAAACAACATTACATTACTTTCGCGGTGAAGTTACATGCATCTTGCCTTCAAATAAAATCCCATGTAAATCCCACAAGAAACCTACGATTATCCATGTGGGTAAATACCATATGGTTCCCACATGTAACCCATGTGGGATTACCCATATGGGTTTGAAGTGGCAAAATTCCATACGGATACCACATGGAAAATCCTATGTGGGTAAATACCAGATGTAACCCATGTGGGATTTACCCATATGAGTTTTAAGTGGCAAGTTTCCATACGGATACCACATGGGAAAATCCGTCCCATGAATCCCACACGGAACCCACATGGAACCCATGTGGGACGCGGTTTTATTTCTCACTGGGTAATGCCTCAGATTTTTTTCTGAATTGGTTTAACACTCCTTTATGTTTTTTCCTTTACAGATTTATTTGATTATTATGTAGATTCATTTAATGACTATCGTTTGGAATAAAATAAATGGTTTATTCAAGTTATTATTAAAATCTATTAATTGATTAAAAAACATATAACTAATATAATGCTTAAGACTGAAACTTTCATTTTTAAGCTAAACGATAAAAAGTATTCTTGATAAAAATTTTACTTTAAGTTTTAAGAAACAAAATGTAATAAGTGCAGAACAGATATTTCAACATAAGTGCATAAAGAATATGTATACATATATATATACATATATATATATATATATATATATATATATATATATATATATATATATATATATATATATATATATATATAATATATATATATATATATATATATATATATATATATATATATATATATATATATATATATATATATATATATATATATATATATATATATATATATATATATATATATATATATATATATATATATATATATATATATATATATATATATATATATATATTAGGGTAGGCTAAACGCCCCTCATTTTTGAAAATCAAAAGGCACTGTTTTCCATGTGGTGTGGGTGTACTCTGTGATCAATAAAAACCAAAGTTCAACTCATTTGCACAAATTTTGGACCCCGCTCAATGGGCTCAAATATCAAATTTTGGCCTCAAAAATCCATATAATGACCGGTAAGATAACCTTCAAAATAAAAATCTCAAAGGCACTGTTTTTTGATTGATTTTTTATGTTCATATGATCATTTTAAGCCTAACTTTATGATAATTGAATAAGACTAAGACTGTGCTCAAGAATTTTGGACACTGAGGTCTGACCCGGTTTCCTTAAAAATTAACCGGTTTTTAAAACATTTTTTATTAAACGGTTTGTTTATTTTACTAAGATCGCGATAATTTTAGACGTCCTATGCAGTAATTAATTTTTTCGCATAGAAAAATCGTTGAATAATTTTAGTTTTAGATAATTATGGGAAAAGACACAAGATCAAAATATAAAGTTTTTTTGATAAATGATATTATCGAAATACTATCATCATCTCAATTGCCTACTGGAGAGCAAGTTCTGCAATATTTACATGGCAAACTATTCAAAGCAAGAAAAGAAAATTTAAAATATAGACTCTGTGATATGGTTTCTTGCAAATTTCCACATGGGAGTTTTGAAATTGGTTGCAATAACCCTGGAGGGTGTAATTTTCTTAAAAGCACATGTGTTGTTTCGTCACTGAAGAAAATCTGGAAAAGAAGTGCAATCCCAATAGTAGCTGACCAACATATTAGGTAAATAATAATTGTATACACAGTATTTATTTATTTTTAAAACTAAAACTTAAAGAATCTTACTGTAAGAATAAAATGTTGTTTCTTTATATAGAAGTAAGATATTGTGCTTGGAAGATCGTAGAAAGAAACTATCAAAGAACAAATTACGTGACACACCACACAATTTAAGAAAAATAGACGCTTACAAACTTGAAATAAAGTGCTTATTTGATATTAGTGTGAATGATGCACAGCAAAAAATTCTATTGAATAAGCAAGTCACTAAAAAGGAAAGAAATATTGATATAAACTTTTTGAATGATCAACGAGGAGAACGTAAAGCTGTCATGGGTGGAATAGACAAGAAGTACTTATTTACTACTCGTAGAAAGCAAAAGGGGATTGAGTTTACCAATAAGAGAATGACTACTTCAAATAGTAACAGATTAGCTTCTGAATTTATAACCAGTTTAACTTTAAATCAGGTTAGAAATAGCAGTGTAGAAGCACAGAACAAAGAGGATAATCAAGATTTTGAATATCAAAAGGACTGCAAACCAAGATCTCATAAGAGAAAACCAGATTTTGTTGAAGTTATGCTACCTAGAAAAATCTTAAAGGCCACTGCTGTTACAGCAAAGAGATACGGTATTCAGAGTTCAGCGCATACCGCTACATTGGCTAATGTTATCAACTCAGCAGGCGGAAATCTAAAGGACTTTGATATTTCTGTTACGTCAGCAAAGGTTCATTCAAGTGCTGTAATTAGTGAATATGGTTTAAAAGTTAAAGAAGATTTTATTGTAAAAGCTAAGGGGAAACTACTTTGTGTTCATTTTGACACAAAATTAGTAAAAGAGTATTTTTATGGTGCGAATATAAATGTTGAGCGGTTAGCACTAGTGATTTCAAGTCCTAGTATTGATAAAGAACAACTTATTGGAGTTCTTTCTATCACAGATAGTCGTGGAATAACACAAGCAAAAGCAATTAAGGAAATACTGGAATCTTGGAATCTCTGGGATTCGGTACATAGTGTATGTTTTGACACTACATCTTCAAATACAGGTGAGAAAAATAAACTCAATAAAATAATAAAGACATTTTATGACATTTTGTATTATGATATTTTTGTATTTTCATAATTTTTATTTAAAAAATTTCACATTGAATAAATGAATTAAATTAAGGCTGGATGCAGGGTGCCTGTGTATTGCTAGAAAAATGGCAGGGCAGACCATTACTATGGTTTGCCTGCAGACATCACATATATGAGCTTCATATTAAGGTTAGAAATAGAACTATTAAATAATTTTATTCTTGGTTTACTCATATAGCCTTTTCCTAATCTCATTTGTCATTATCTAGCATGTAGCACTTGCAGTTTCTGGAAATATGTCTGATGGACCAGTTGATAATCTTTTCAAAAAAATTCAAAATTTCTGGGAAACTATTAAGCCTGACATAAATTTAAACAATCTTAACAGGTTTGAATGGAGCAAGAGAAAAGGAACATTTTTAGAAGAACAGGTAAGGAGAATTGCATATTTCTTTTTTCTGAAAATTTTTAAAACAAAATAAACTTATTTGCATTATATTTTTTCAAAGGCTCTAAAAACCAAAATATATCTTGAATACGCCTTGTTTACAGAAAAGTTTCCTCGTGGTGACTATAAGCATTTAGCAGAACTTGTTTTGGTTTGGCTAGGCAGTGATAAGCTTGGAAATTTTAAGTTTCGTAAACCTATAGCTTTTCATCATGCAAGATTTCTTTCAAAAGCTATCTACTACATGACAATAGAACTGCTTACATTTCATTTGCAACAATTTGATATAATTAGGGAAGAAGAAATAGCAACAGTCCCTCAAATTGCTGAGTTTATTGGGCTTTTTCATGCAAGATGGTTTCTGAAAGCACCATTGGCAGTTTCTTCTCCTTCTTTAGACTTATGTGCAATCAGGGATATGACCAAGTATGGATCATTTAACAAAACTGTGTCAACTACTGCTATTAAAAGTATTAAAAATCACTTATGGTTTCTTACAGAACGAAATGTTGTGTTTGCTCTTTGCGACGAAACACTTGACAATAACATTAGAGAAAAAATTGCCAAAAAGCTATTTTTATATCCTAGACCTTCAAATTTAACATTGGGAAAACCACTTTTTCCAAATATTGACATAAAAAAAATTCCAGAGTTATGGCAACTGGTTGGACCTCAAAGTTGGATTCTCATTCAGCAGCTAAATTTATCTGTAATAGAAACAGAATGGATGCAAGTTAGCTCCAAGTAAATATTTCTCATAAATTATTTCTTATGTTATTTTTTGGCATTTTTAAAATATTTTAGGATAACTATTTTATTTTAGAGATTGGAATAATTTCTCAGGATATAGAGTTCTGAAAACATTCGTAGAAAAATTAACAGTAATAAATGATTGTGCTGAGAGAGGAGTAAAGCTCATCCAAGACTTTACACACATTTGCCAGGATGAGGAGTTAAAGCAATCTTTGATGATTTCAATTTCAAATCACAGACAAAAGTTTTCAGTCAATTCCAAAAAGAATTTGTCTGAAATTCTTTAACATGCAATTGTTACATGAAATTGTTTATATGATTATTAAATATCAATATATATATCAAAAGTTGTTATTTCATATATTTATGCCAGGTTTATTTATAAAAAATTTCATTTCTATAAATAAAAATTGTAATTTTTACTAATAAATATGGAAAAATAAGCTTTCTAAATACGTATATGTGCATAATTATTAGGGTAGGCTAAACGCCCCTGATTTTTAAAAATAAAAAGGCACCGTTTTCCATGTGCTGTGGGTGTACTCTGTCTCTGTGTACGTCTGAAAACGATTTTATTTTTTAGTTTTGATTTGTATACAAATTAAATATTGCAGAACTCGATCTCTATAAGATAGTTGAGAGGGTGTTCTCTATATTTCTAGAGAATTTAATAAAGTCATTTATCAAAAAAACTGATATTTTGATTTGATGTCTTTTCCCGCTTTGTTTTAAATAATATAATGTAATAGGTTATTAATAATAAAAATATTTTTTATATACTGCTATATAAATATGTCATACTTTAACTTAAATAATACACAAACAAACACTTTATTCAGTGATTCAATTCAATTCAAGTGAACTTTTTTATTCAAAAAGTTAAAAAAATTGTATAAAAATTTAAGGGGGGCGGCATATCCTCCACCCCTGCCTAACCTTCCCAACAACTTCAATCTTATTTAATATAATGCTTTTATTTGTAAATAATTTTGTTATCCAAAAAAAGTAATTACAAATAAAAAGTCCCCCTAAAAATTTGCAATCCATCCCAATATAATAAAAAACCCGGCAGTTTTAAAATGTTGTAGAAACCGGGTGTTTTTTTAAGAAACCAGGTCAAAAATTTAGTCCTTTTAATGCTTGTAGACAGCCTAAATCTTATTGAATTACGATGGGAATAGGCTTAAAATAATCGTAAACTTCTAAAAAATCAGATGAAAAGCATTATTTTTTTATTTTTATTTTTTAAGGGTGTTTGAACCGTCGCAATTCGAATTTTTGTAATAAAAATTCGATCTTTGAGCCCATTGAGCGGGGTCAAAAAATTATCCAAATAATTCAAATTTTGTTTTTTATTGGTCACAGAGTACACCTACAGCACATGGAAAACAGTGCCTTTTGATTTTCAAAAATCAGGGGCGTTTAGCCTACCCTAATATATATATATATATATATATATATATATATATATATATATATATATATATATATATATATATATATATATATATATATATATATATATATATATATATGTATTTATTACTGGTATGTTTTTTCCTTTATTTTAAAGCATGTTTCTTTTTTGTAAAGCTTAAAGGAATTAGATTTGTGGAATTGTTTGTAATTAGGTAACTTTTTTTGTAATTAGATAACTTTTTCTTTAATTTTCATTAAAAGATTTACTGTAGAAAAAATCATCTAGCAATGAGGCAGCTTCAAGTAATTTGGAGAAAAACATTCTCCAAATTTAAAACAAATTACAAATACAAATTTAGCACAGCCTACTAAAAAGAAATTTGAAAAATTACTTGATATCTTATCATCTTAATAGTTATCTGTTTATTAAGGACCTTAACCCTATGCCATTTGTCGTAATTTTTAACTAGTCACCTTGCGTAACTTAAAGACAATTAAATAATATTCACCATTTTCTTAACACTATTTCAAAAATGCTAAGAGCTGATTAGAATATAACTTACAAATGAAAGTCTTACGATGTTCAAAATTAAACTGCAAGTTAACAGCTTTTTGTTATTCATATCTATCGTACCTGAAGGGCACGTAAACTCAGCTCAATTTATTGCAAAAAATTAATTTTAATCTAGTCGTAAATATTATTCATTTAGTATTTAGAAAAATGTTAGGAGACTCAAGACAAACTATAAGGGAAAAGTTAGGATATTAGTTTGGGTGAATGAAAAAATCAATTGCTTTTAGTTAGGGTTTTTGGATTAATTGCTCAGCTTTACGTGAAAAAAAAACTTTAGCGGTTTTGTTTAAATTTTTAAAGATGAGCAAATAATCAGCGTTTTTGGAATAAGTTGCTCAGCTATTTTAAATAAGACTTAAGACTAAAAAGTTCCAAAACTTTTAATTCCCTTGTAAGCTATAGACAGAAAACTGAGGAGTGTTGGAAAATACGATTTAAAAATAAAATTGTTAAAATAGTTAAATCAGTTTATCAATAAATCTCACTCAGATGAAAACATCGTTTATCTACAAAGCTTTAAAGATTAATTACAACATCTCTTAAGAGAGTTTTAAAGAATCAAAAGCTAAATGCATATCAAGACAAAATAAACAACTGCTAATAATTGTGAAAATAAGTGAACTTGACAAGCTAAACTATATACTACAAGCAGTTAGCAACCCTTAATACGGATTATTAGTAAAAAAATTAAGTATAATTTAACTTGATACGATATCTTATTATTATATGATATTTTAACTTGATATAATATTAGCTGTTCAGATCCGTAATACAAACTATGGCTGGTATGTTTCACACTTACCATTTTAACAGGGTGTCTCCCAGATTTATATATTTTTTTTAATGATTATCCAGTTGCTTCCCTTGATTTTAGCTATGAAAACTTTACTTAAAAAAAAATAGATTTCAACCCTCTTAGGAAACACTTTTCAGATGCAAATATAAAAACATTAAAATCTCATTAAAAGAATAGAGTAGAGGTTATAAAATAATATGACAATTTGCATCTAACATTATTGGGATAAGAATTTATTCTTATCTTAATTCAGCTGAATTCAATTACTTTCTGTTAACTGTTGGCTAATGATTAATATAGTAAATTTCAAATCATGAAAATTTGCTAAGCTTAAACCATATTTTAACATAAGACAAACTTAAAGAAAACAAATAAAAATTAGAAATGAAAAAATTAATTTTCTACTATTTTTTTTAATTAAGATAACTTGACAACTTCGCAATAAAAAAATTAAAAAAATAATAATAATAAAGGAAGAATGTAATAAAAAATAGATTACATTTTTAAGTAAAAAAATAAATAAAAAACAATATAAAATAAAAAGAGAAAATTTGATAAAAAAAAAAATAGTTAAGAGTTACAATTTTTTAATAAAAAAAATTTAGAGCTGTATTCAAATATATAACGATCAAATTTGAATTTTTTTTTTTTTTTGCTTCACTCACATTCAGTAAGAAGAAAATAGGTAAATCAACGAGTAATTACAAGAACACAGTTTACCAGTTGCTGTATAATAAATATCACGGTTCATTGATAGTCTTTCTTTCTGAAATCAGATGAACGTGCAGTTGATGACCCCTTTGTTGGATCAAAAATGAAGACTCAAAGCCTTGCTAATAACTAAAAGAAGACTGGTTGGACGATAATTGGAGGGGTCAAAATGTTCTCCGGAGGTTTTTAAAATTGGAACAACAGATGTCATTTTCCAGCAGCAGGAAAACAAGACTCAGTTAAACACTTTTTAAATAGTTTAGAGAAAATTTAGAAGAATTCTGGAGAAAACTTAAAAGAAATCTGCATAATTTTGTAAGACTGTGACAGGAATGTGGTCTGGACTTTGTTAACAACACTCTAAAAAATTTTCCAGAAGTCTCTAGAGCCTAACATCTGAGAAGATTTAGTGAACTGAGAATAATGGAGTTTAGCATCTGACAATACTTTTTTACATTAATTTCTTGCAATAATAAAAAACTGTTTTTTCTCAAGAGAGTTGTTTTTTCAAAAAAGATGATTACAAGTAGATATAGCAGCTGCACAAGTGGGTGAAACCATAGAAGAGAATGAGGCTTGACTTGGAACCAATAAGAAATATTATTGTATAGTATTTCTTATTGGTTCCATATTGGTTCCAATAATAAAAGCATCCATTCCTACATAAATCCGGAAGGTTACATAGGTGACGGGTTTATCAGCTGAGAGAGAAAACACATCAGCCGAAGGACTATCACAAAGAAAATTACGAAGAGTCCACTAAGCTTTAGGGAAGTGTAAGTGGTGCGATGATTTTGTGAGTCCGAAAATGAAGTTTAAGATAAAAGATTTAATGAGATCATTACAATATCAGAACCGCTTAAGGGAGAAAAAGGAGAAACTGAACACAAGCAAGGATCAGAGACCAGAAATAAATGAAGGGGTGTAGTTAAATGATTGAGGTTGTCAGGAAAGTGTGTCACAAAGTTAACAATCTGAGTAAGAGATTGAGAAATGCAGAAGCTATAGGTTTTATTGACAGCAGTGCCAGGGTCAGTGACATTAGAGCCAAGTTATTTAGTGTAATGAAGATTAAAATCACCAATAACAACATTATTGGCAGAGGGGTTAAGAGAGAGAGAACATGGTCATTTTGATCAGAAATTATATCTAAAAGAGTGCAGTCTTGGTGTACCTTGGAGGTATATATGTTGTACTTTGGAGGTATTATTGTTTTAACAAATTAAGTACTTAACATGATAGAAATTTGATATAATGTTTACTTATATCATAATTAGATTTTACATCAGCCTCATTTAAGATAACATTAATCAAACTAGTTAAATTTATATTAACTGTATAATAGTTTATATTGCTATATATGATTATAAATTTAGAAGTATTAAAAATGTACATAAAAATTAAAGCTTATTAAGAAAAGAGTAATAACAAAATTATACATTAAAGTTCAGTAAATTTAAGTCTTTCACCATGTCTGCTTTTTCCAATTCATACACAGTTTTATCCTTCTCAAGTAAATCTTTCTGAGTTTGTGTCTTTTTTTAAGTACTGAATTTTGAAAAACGTATCAGCAACTTCTAGCAACTCTGCTACAAAGTTTTTTACAGCACGTTTGCTATGAATTTGTGCCAATATAAAAACTTTAGGCTGGGTTTTTTTTAAATCTGAATCTTTTATAACCTCGAAGTCTACTTCTGACTGAGCAAACACTTTATCCTATACTAAATCTACATTTTCCTCTAATTCTGTACTTTGTTCCAAGGTAAAACTCAGCTTTTTTTTTCAAAACAGGTTCCGGTTGTTTATTATCAGTTTTGCGTTTCATTTTATTGCAAGATTTTTTTTTAATTTTAGCTTTTTCTTTTTTAATTTGAAGTGTTACATGACTGGAAGTTAAAATGCAAGACTTTTTCTTAGGACGACCTTTTCCAGTTTGTTTTCGTGGTTGAGCTTTTGGGTAAGGTAAAATAATATCAGGAGATAAAATGTTAGCGTTGATCTGGTTTGTAAAAGAAGCCAGACTGCAGCTAGTTACATCAGTATTAGTTGAGGGTCTAGATCTGCTCAAAAAGTCTTCAATATGCTTACTTTTGTTTCCAGGCTGGTCTTCAGACACAGGTTGCGGTCGATCTGTTATAGTGGATGGCAAGAACTCATAATCTTTAAAAATGTTTTTATTCAGTGGATGAAGGCCACTTACTAGAAAACTGTGTGTAATGTTGTTTGGTGTAAAAGCTAAGAGAAAAGCTTGTCCAACAATTTCTGATACATTATAGATAGATGCTGGTTTCCCAGTATTGCCTGGTTTTAACATCCAATTCCTCATTTTATTGTTGTAATATGTCTTAAATGGACCAAATACGCCCCTGCCTAAGGGTTGCATTTTATGACTAATGTGTAGATGAAATGTTACCATTGTAATCCCATTATATTTTGCTAGATGGATTGTTGGTATTGAGATTTGACTCTCGTTATTGTCAAGTAAAAGAATAGAAGGATTTTCTTTACTTAAACGAGTGTGCTTTACAAAATGTTTCAAAAATCCTAGAAACAAGTCTTCATTTGACCATCCTGATGGGTTTGCTCCACCAAGTGTACCTTCTGTGGCCCCTTTTAACATAAAGTCCTTAAACTTCTTACGAAGGAAAATCAACATTGGAAGCATATAGCCACCACCAGCATTTATTACTCCAATCATTGTTATACTATATCCTCGATCACCACTAGTCATTACACCAACCTGCTTTTGATTTTTTTTTTCTAAGATTTAAGGAGGATTGTGGACAGTGCTAACACTGGTTTCGTCAACATTCTATATGTTAAATTCTGTAATACTTTGATTTTGTTCAAGCCCAAGAGCTACTTCATAGTTTTGAAAAGTGCTACATTTTGTCTATTAAAGGCAGTTGAGCGGGTCAGACTTGTTGTCTTAGGCTTTCTAAGTGATAATTCTTTAGAATATTTTTTTCGGAAGACTTTCAGTAACTCTTTTTCAGCCATCTGGTTGCTATCCCAAGATGCATCATACTTTTTTTGATTTGTTTTCCCAAATTGGTAAGTCAGTTTTCTAACATCTTTCAAAGTCAGTCTATAATGAAGATCAGCAACTTTTAATATGTAATCAACTAGAAGTTTATCTTCTTTTACGGTGAAGACTTGTTAAATGTTGTTTTTTTTTTTGTAACAAAATATTTCTAAACTTTATTCAAGGAATTTGTTTCTGTGTCTTCTTAAGGTTGTTTCAGGAATGTCATAGAGGTTTCAGGAAAGTCCATAGAAGCCCTGTATATAGACAGTTTATTGTTCACTGTAAGTTTTACAGCTCTTTCTAGGTCCTCTTTTCGTATAGGTTTTCTTTTAAATCCAATTTTACTTCTAGACATTTTTTTTTTTTTTTTTTCTAAAAATAAATGAAAAGCATTAAATACTATCAAATATATGTACAATTTATTTTCATAAAATGGAAGGACATCATCAAAAAAAAAAATAATAACTATAACAATATATCACATTAAATAAATATTTTCATGACAAACTTACTCATAATAGTATTTACAAAACCATGCAAGTGTGTACCTTGGTGGTACCACTAAGGTACACAACATTAGCTACCTTCAAGGTACACCGCTACCACTATTTTTACAAAATCGCTACTAATTTATAAGTTAGAAGTTAAGCAGTTTCAAACATGCATAAATGTAGCTAAAAACATGATTTACAAATTCTGATAATCAGTTTTAATATAAATTTTATACCTACAGTTGTAGAAAAAAAAAGAATACGCCCTAAAATAAATTACTTTTTAGTACCGAAAACAAACTTTTATTTGTATTGCAACAGCAAGTGTGTTAAGCAGTAGTAAAACAACTTATTATAAGCCTTTAATGACCAATACATGCAACTAAAATTTTAGTTTGAATTTATCATTTAATATGGCAGCATAATTGACGTGTCTCTAAGGTACAAACCCCTCCAAGGTACACCTCTCTTCCCTACTAAATAAATGGTTTCAGTATTTAAAAACTTTAGAAAACACCCACATATCCATTTATTCAACAATTAATCTTCTCTCTAGTATTAGTTTCTTCATATCAAAATTTAAAGACTATTAAATCATTTCTTTCAAGGCCTATCAAGACATTCTTGATAGGCCTACGCTCTTCTTTATTTCCAGTAACTTTAGAAGTACAGCAAGGCTCTTTCTTAATTTATGATGATTATATTGATCATAATGATGTTTGCATATGCATTTATTTAAAAAATATAACATGAACTTTGAATGAAAATATATACTTTAGGATGTATAAATGTTTATGCAGCCCCATCACAAACTCAGCTCTGGCTAAATTTTATCAAACCCAGCACCAGTTAAATATCAATCCTGGTCGCTTATATAGAAATTTATGAATAGGTAGTTATACATAGAAATTTATGAATAGGTAGTTGATTATTGGTTGATTGTGCTATTAAAGAAAACATTGCTAAAATTTTAGATTAATTAGGTGCTTGTGAGTTATATGTGCAATATGTTAATTTGAGGTTATATGTGTAAACTCTACTTCAATTAGTTTATTCTTAGTTTTTTTAAATATAAAGTCACCAAAAAGATATTGTGTCTTAAACATGGGCAAGGGAGCCATTATTTAAATATTTAAATTTGGAATTTTCATTCCATCACAACAATATACATAATATAAGTACACTGTATACTAAATACAAACTTCATGGTACCGCTAAAAAAAAGTTTAAACATGTTTAATAAATTTAGTTAAACTTCATAAACGTTTTTCAACATACAAACACACACACAAAAACATACACACACACACACACACACACACACACACACGCACATATATATATATATATATATATATATATATATATATATATATATATATATATATATATATATATATATATATATATATATATATATATATATATATATATATATATATATATATATATATATATATATATATATATATATATATATGTATATATATATATATATATATATATATATATATATATATATATATATATATATATATATATATATATATATATATATATATTAGGGTGGAGTGAAAAAAATTTTTGATGAATATCTTGGTTGGATAACTATAAAAATTTGCTGACATATGCAATTAGTAATGTGGCAAACAATCAAACGATTTAAAGCATATCTTGAGGTTCCACAATTTACCTGAATTATAGGCATATTTCAAATAAAAAACAATATTTTTTGAAATTTCAAGTTTATATATGACAACATATTTGAGTAGCAGTATACATTTTTAACAGTCTATACGAAAGTTACAAGTAAATAGAACTAAATATTTGAAAAGAAAATCACATGAAAACTCTAGTCAAATATGTTTTTATAGCTACAAATGATGTTGTGCTTTAGTGTCCAGTTTCGGCATTTTTGATCTCGATTCTAAACGTGCTCTTATGAATCCGTCGCGTTTTTCTGGACCGCAAACCGCTTGGGAAGCTTCTGTAACTAGCTTAATATGCCTCTCCACCAACTAAGTGTGACAAGGATAGCCTGGATTTCATTATACGTCTCAGAGCCAACTCACGTATTTCTGATTTTTCGTCGGTAAGCATCGCAAGCAACAGGTTTTCTGGATGAGTAAAAAATGCGTTGCGTTAAATTACTGGATCAACAACTTTCTTCAGCTCGTCTGTGAGGTAGCGTGATTTCAGTATTGTATTATGGACATGTCGAGCGCCATCTTTACATGAAGAAGTATTTTTTATTTCAAACCATGCTGGTGCATTAACTGTTACAATGAAGGTAACCATTGTCTTCAGTTCATCCGATGGGAATCTTGTGGCTATATACAGGCGTAGTATTCGATTAGCCGTTGTTAACCATCTTGAATGATTGATAACACCAGGATTGCGAAGTGAAAGGCCTACAGGACAAACGCCAACACTGACAGCGGTGCACAAGTCAAACAGATATTTTTGAACTGTACTTAAATCGTCAGAATTTAAACCTGTCGGTAGAACACAGTTTATGGGTGTGTATTTGACAACGGGAAGCTTCACACATGCCACCAATGATTTTCCGATTGGACCAGAAAATCCTTTTGGACCATTGGTAGGTCCATCTAGATGTTCGAACAAATGCTTTAACGGTAATTTGTAAGCATGTAGCTGACATACGAACCATTGCAGCGGTTTGTTCAACGCCACTTCAAATAATCGAATGATACCTCCTCGATTGCCTGTATTAGCAACGGTTCCGTCACAACCTACAGCTTTTATACCACCCAGGTCAATATTCTTTTTACTCAAATATGCAATCAATTCAGCCGCAATAACTTTGCTTGACCCTGCAATTGGTGTAATGCGGATATAATGGATATATGTTCTTCAGTTGTTACTTTTCGATGAAATTTCCCATCACATTCTTTAATAAGGGTTATTGTACTGTCTTTTCTTCCATCAAAATATAGCCCAGTGATTGTGTTACTGACATTGGCACATAATGTTTCACGTTTTTTACAACGCTCTCGTCGCACTTTACTTCTGTCAATCACTTTAGAAACATCCCTTTCGTGGATTATTCCAACATCTTGAAGAACAGCACTGGCGATTCCTGCTGCGGCCCTGTCGGATACACCATGTCGATCACATGCTAACGCCAGAGATGGTAACTTAACTCTCATCTGCTTGTCACTCAACTTTCTAAATTGTTCATTAGGATCCGGCATACGATCGTCATCAGATTCGTCATCGCTAGCATCAGTTTTCTCTTCCGTAGAAGAAAACTCCTCACAAACATCTGACTGTTTCTCACTGATGTCATCAATGTCAGATTTGCTGCACATCTGCCTCTGCGTCAACTCTTTACGAATATATCGTTTTTGCAATTTGATGGATTCGGCCTCATCAACTTTAGCAATGATCATACCTCGTGGACCCCGCTGATCTTCTAGAAAATCACGTTCAATTGCGGGTATCTTTCTTGACTTTTCACACTGACACTGAGATATGAAAGAACACTTGCAGGAGCAAATGTCAAAAAGTTTTTTGGATTCATTTTTAAACTGAGATATTTTCTCTCGGTATGGTCCGGAGTCTTTTCTAGACTTATATGGCTTCAGCAAATTCATGAAAGTCTTGTGGTACTTGTTCAACATTTCTTGGACACGGCGGTGGCTTACATATGGTATAGAAGCTTTGTTCCATATTTGTTCCACTTTTGTTGTCACTATTTCTGCCACATTGTGATGTGGTGGATCTTTATTTTTCAATTCATATTTAAGTTTCTGTTTTATCAGATTGTAAAACTTCATAACATCTGCATAAGTAGGTAGTTGATTGTCAGGCATTTCAGAGGGAGCATCAAAAATGACACAAGATACTTTTTTCCTGGTTACAGCCATTAAATATGAATTGTTATTATAAATGAATTAAATTATTATCTTATATGAAAAAAATGTTTTGCAATAAACGCTGTTTGTTTACTCTAGACAGAAAAAACGCACGTGAATACGTATAAAAGTGAACTACAATAAAAAAATACCGGATAGTAAATGCTTATAAATGGTTAAATTTTGAAGTTGGTTGTGGAACCTCAAGACGTTACCTAAACTAATTTTTTTTTTACGGAGTAATTGATTGTATCACAGAGCAAGTTTTAATAACTATCCAAAGTCAAGCAAATCAAAAAAAAAATTTTTTCACGTTTTCACTCCACCCTCATAT